AGAGAGAGAGAGAGAGTAGAGAGAAATTAATGAGTCTTTCACTCTCTTTAGCAATTGGTGTATTTTCTCGTGTAGCAAATGTTATTGTTATCTTTCGAACTCTTTTGAGCTTGAATATTAAACTGATAGCTTCCGAATTTCATGAGAGAGAGAGAGAGCAGCATAACTGAGCAGTTATCCCCCATTCTACAAAATTCAAGCTCAATTAAAGTTTGAATTTCTCCCATAAAGATTGTAAATGTGCTACTTTTCATTTACCAATCGTAGTAAAAATTGCAACATTTTTGTGCAGATCCTTTCGAAGGCTGCCTCCAACACAGTAATGGACACCGTTGATCCTGAAATCCTTGACACATGCAAAGATCTGAATGCAGTAAAAAAAGTATTTCAGCTCGCTCTCCTGTGCACAAAACGCCAGCCCTCTGATAGGCCAACAATGCACGAAGTTACACGTGTGCTCGGCTCTCTCGTGCCCCAATCCATCACCGATCCAAAGCCCCAAGCTCCTCAGCCGCCACCATGCGTCCCCCTGATTGGGATCTCGAGCACATGCCGTACTTACATGGACGAGTACGCGAATTTGAAGAACCCTAATTTGATCGCGTGCACGAGCCTTACCACGACTGATGGCCACCTCTTTGTCAAATTTGGTGAAGTAATTTCCCAAAACACCAGGTGAGAGAGAGAGAGAAATGGTTTATGTATTTATATGTTGAATTTGAGGGGGAAAATTCCTTGTAAAACTTAGGGCCCATTTAGTATAAGTGACATTGTAGGTTGGCAATTGAAACTAGGTTTAGATTTGTGGTTAATAGCAATTGTTTAACCCTTCATCTCTCTCTTTCTAGAATATCGGTGTCTACTTATTTGCTTAATCCCCTACTCTCTCACTTTTGTTCTTCTCAAAATGCGCAAAGCCTTTAGAAAGTGTATAAAATATGTGGAATTCATGCTGCAACCGCAGGCATTTATAAGAGACTCGAGATCTGAGGAAGGTGCCTGGTTTGAGTGGATGATGCCCCCCAAACCCTGTATTTAGTTATACACAAGTGTTCTTATATATGTGGACTCTCTCTCTCGGATGTGGAGCATATAATCTCTCTCAAATGGGAGTGAGACTATACTCTCTCTCTTGGATGTGGAGCCAATAATCTCTCTCAGATGTGAGTGAGACTGTACTCTCTCTCTCTTGGAGGTGGACTATATAGCTCTCTCTCTCTCATTTTTGAGATTATACAATCTCTGTTGAATGTGGACTATGTACGCGCACACTCTCTCTCTGTAAATATATTGTCTCATATAAATTATATGTGAGAGTCTGACGCTGTCAACTGTCCGTAAGTGCTTTTCTGGTTGTTCACATGGTCATGCCATTCCACGAATGGGTATTGTGGTGCATTGTAGTATAAAATTTTGCACAAGTGAATCACAGTTAGTTATAAAACTTAATGTGGATTGTATTTGCCAAGTTTAGGGCGTCTTCTAATGAATGGTTGATCAATAAATTACTTTGTTTGGCAGTTCTTTTGTTTTTTCTATTTTACGTTAATACTGCAAATGTTTTTTCTCTTTTACGTTCATACTGCAATAGCACCTAAATGCAGGTCCCCAGAGCTTGCTCATGAATACCTCTCATGAAGTAGGGTCTGCAACAAAAAGAAGAAATGGGAAGCTCTCCTTTTTAATTAGGGAAAAAAAGTTTATATAAGGTTGCAACCTTAAAATGTGCATGTGCACATCAAAAATCTTTTGGAAATATTGTTTTAATATTGAAAAACCCTCTAATCGATCATCTCGACGTCGAGATATATGAACATGAAAAAAAGCAGACTTTTTGAATCTCAAAAATAGTGTATCTCGCAACACATTTTTTAGACCGTCCACTTTCAATATTTTCGTATGTTTATTTATAGATCCAATTGATTTTAACTATTTTTGGAATTTAAAATTTTAATTAGTTATGAAAATAGATTTTAAGATAGTTCTAAGAATTTTTTACAACAAAATTACATGTTATGATAAAATTTGAAGGTGCGCCTTAATTGAATTGTTTAAGGTTGCAGCCTTATAGAAACCGCACCCTTTTAATTATGGGCTTCGTATTTATGAGTTAGGACTTTGTTGTGTGGACATTGATATCTACACCATTCAAGTTGTGTTGGACATTGTCTTGATCTTTGAGATAGGTGGAGTGGGAAGTTGTGTTGGACATTGTCTTGATTTTTGAGATGGGTAGACTGGGGGGTGGTGGGTTTTGGGGTCGGGGGTCAAATACAATTAGGGTTGGCGTCATGTCGGGCCAGGCTGGACCTAGCCCGGCCTTGGTCCCCATAAGGCAAGCCATGCCCGGCCTACCCTTGATCGGGCCAAAGAGGCCATGACCTAGTACTAGCCCTAAGCTTATCAAGACCAGGCCAGGCCATATAAAATAAAACAAAAATTAAATGCAAAAATATAGAAAAAAACCGGCCTGGCTGACTTAGGCCACATTTTGAGGCATAGGCCTATTTTTTTAAGGCTAAGCCACCTAGCCACCCCTAAATACGTTTAGATGTTGCAAGTGGTAGGCCACAACAAGTGCGTACCTTGATTCGAGATTGTTTATAAAGATGTCATTTAGCTTTTAAACATCGAGGTCACGACCATTCCATGTCAAATTAAATGATTTGGGATGAGTCACGAAATCTGAAGGGCTTTTTTGTGAAACTTTGTATCTATTCAATGACACTCTTACAATCACATATTTTGAAATTTAAAAGACAATAATGATTGTGATTTCTATGTACAAAAAATAAATAATCTTTTTGTTGACAATCCCTCTTGATTTGCATTGTTGTTTTTTTATAATAATTGTTTACCCATAACGTAAGCTGTAGAGTGCAGCGCTAGTCGCAATTCCAGTGTTTGAAAAGTAAAAATAATTGGCTAAATAACTCTGGCTCGGGCCCTTTGCCTAGCTCGCGAGGATTTTAAAATATCTTTAAAAAATTCTCAAAAAGTAAGAAATATATTTGTAGCATATTTATTTATTTTCTATCATTTTGACGAAAATTGGAAAAGTATTATGACCGTCAATATTTATTTTTATATTTTCCCATTTTTTGAAAACTTTCAAAAATACCCCCTATTATAAAGTCATTTTTTAAAATCTATTCTTACGCCAATTTTTTAACCACAATTAATTGTGTTTTGTTTAATTTTACTTTGAATATAATTTTCCGATTCTTTGGGATTTCTTTATATTTTTTTTAACGGTTGTCAGTTGCTATAGTACTGGATTCAGGAGGTGTATTCCGCTAGGGCAGGGGTCGAGTAGTCGGCCCAAGCCGACTTTTCGAATAGCTGAGCATTACCAAATCCTATAGTACGTGCATTGCAATTATGCTGATTACATTGGGGGGAATATGTGAGATTAATCGTTTGCTCGAAACACAATCCAATTTCAACGGGTAATTTTATCACACAAGATTTACTTCGTTTAGCTTAATTTACTTGATTTTGTTTAGATAAAATTTTCAAAACATCCAAAAAAAAATTGTGGAAGATCCCCATTTAGTGAAGCCAAAACTAAGTATTATAGACCATTCACCTTCACCCAAACCCAAACCAAATACTCAAAAGATCGCCTTACCCATGAAGAAAGTGATACCCTAAATAAGCAGATGTTGAAGGATATGGGTGGAGCGAGCATTTACATTTGGAAAAAGGTTTTTTTGTAAGGTTGTAACCTTAAAATGCAGTATTAAAGTGTACCTAAAAAATTCATTGGAAAATGCCATTTTAACATTGAGAAGCCCTCTAATTGATCATCTGGACATCGAGATGTATGAACATCAAAAAAAAAAAAAAAATTCGAATCCCTAAAATAATGCATCTTGCAACACATTATCTGGACCATCCATTTTCAAGATTTTCATATGTTTATAAATCTACTTTATTTGAACAATTTTTGAAGTTTAAAATTTTACAAGTAGAGATGAAAATAGATTTTTGAGCCAATTTTTTACACCACAATTACTTGTTATAATAAAATTTAGAGGTGCGCCTGAATTTGATGGTTTAAGGTTGCAACCTCATGCAAACCACGCCCTTTACTTGTCTCACAATAGCTTGTATAAGAATTTGCATATAACATTCTACCTAAAAAATGGGGCAACTACAATGCCCAACTTCTACACTTTCTGCAAGTGAGGGTGACCTTAGTCAAATATTTAGAAACTACGGTAGGCATCAAGAAAGGGCCGGATCGGCAAATCCAACCACACTGGTGCCTTAAACAATTTGTTCCAAATAAAAAACTAAGTTCGGTAAAATATAAGTTAAAACCAATGTTAAACCAGTTTTGACCACTCGGACTAACCGGTTCTGATCAGTTCAACCACTCAATAAAGTTGGACAATTTGTTTTACATATATAATTTTAAGTTATTATTTCTATTTTTCTCGTATTTTTTTTCTAAAAATATTTGTTCGACCAATGATCAGACAAGTTTTGATTAGACCAAACCTCTCACAGGTTCAGTAACCGGTCCAATCCAAATAACACTTGAAATGATAAAGATAAATTGACTAAATCACTACATTTCTACCATTACATGAGCTAACACTAAGTCTTGCTAAAATGTCATAAAGCCATAAGTTACAATAGAACAATTGGAAATGAATTAAATAGAACAATAGATTTAATTTTACATTCCCAACACATTTACAGTCATCTCGTTTACCAAACCTGATAGTCCAAAACCGCTCTCTATGTGGAGTGGGTTAAAATGGCCTCCACTCTATCTAGGGATGCATGCAAGCGTCCATAGTTCATGTTTATCACAGATTCTCCTGTTCCTACAGAGCTGCACAAGCTTTTTCACCATAAATATTCAACTTAAGAAGATAAATAAGGGGCTGGCTTACTTCCTCATTAAAAAAAAAGTTTCTAACCAGTTTCAAAAAGCACTAGGTGGCACCTAGGCGGTCCTGGACCCCTAGAACTTTAACGACCCAATAGAATTTTTTTTTTTTTTGGGTTTTCTCTCTTTAAGTCTAATGGATTTTAGGTTTTAAATGAACCTAAAACCCACAATTTTGTTCTTTTATTATTAAAAAAATGACCCAAAAAACCCTTGCATTTCTGCCTCTGGGTGGAGCACAAGCCCTGGGTAGCCGCCTAGACGGGTTCAAGCCGACGCCTAGGGATATCCGCCTAGGCATTGGGCAGTCCGCTTTTGAAACAGTGGTAACCATAGACAATAATAATAATAATAATATATAGGATTGTATGGTGTAAGGCCATCTACCTTTGTCACAAGGCGCTCACAATCATCCTTAGCCATCATATGTTATACGATAATTTCACAAAGTTCGAAAATCTATTTTTGAAATTTGAGCAAGGTCAATTGCACACTTCCAATCTCTTGATTTCATACTAATGTCCAAATGTAACTGTGGCATCTTTGTGGCAAAGGTAAATGGTCTTATTGCATACTTTTTTTGTAATAATATTATTATGGGATTGTATACTATGAGACCATTTATTTTTGGCACGAGATCGTCACAATTTTCTAGCTACCGGATGTGAAATCTAATAGATTGAAGTGTATCACAATATTCAAGAAATTTTATTTTAAACTTTGTGCCCAGTCAATAACACATTCCCAACCATATGATTTCAATAACACATTCCCAACCATATGATTTCATATCCAATGATTTTTATGACCTTATATTAAAGGTAAATGGTCTCGTTGTATACATTTCTTATTATTACTGCTAGAACGAGTGAAACTAAAGAAAATTTAAGACAAGGAAGCTGGGGTAACTCTACCTTAATCACAACACTCCAACATCCATCATTCATTCCTTATGATGGATGGTGGAGATTGATTCTACCTAAATGCATGTTCCAGTACAGTTCTAGTAGGACCCACCACAATTAATCTCCACTGTACATTCTTAGGAAGGGATGGTAGGTTCCACAATGAAGCACTATATAATGTATACTATACTCCATCGCATTATGGTATCCACTGACTTTGAGATACAATACCAGACTTTGTTAGATTATTGTTTGCATGCACTTTGAAAAACTCACCCATGAATCTCAGGAAGAATGTATTCTGCCTTCCAACCAATCCGAACATCAAATCCAGGGAAGATGCTAACTGAACTCTTGTTCCTAATCTGAGAAATACCATCTCCACCCAAGCATGTAGAGAGCTTCCATTTCCAACCAGTGGTATGGAAGTGAAAACTGTGGCCTATACCAACCTGGAATATCACATTCAATAACTAACTCGCATCAATAAAAAGTTTAAAAACAACAAAAGCAAGAAGATTTAATAATCAATCTCAAGTAAAAACAAATGCTTTACATGGTTCCTTCCTCACCTTCAAGAAAGGTGATTTTCTAAGATTGAGGTGAGAATAACTAGTCTAGGAGGATTGACATGTGCAAGGCTAACTGTCCCTACACTTTCAGTATCTGAGCTAAGTTTGTTAACTTAAAGCCCCATGTGCGATTCTTAGCCTGTTTCCACCTCCCACCCAAGTTCCACAGCCTTCTTGCCCACATGTACCATTTCAGTGAAAGACAGGCCTCAGTCAATTTCTTTTACCTCCTAACAGACAGGTGGAAGGCCAATGCCACAGTTGACACACTCGTTAAGGATAGCACTGCATCATGGGGAGAGACACTGGGACGTTTTTGGCAACTTCTCAAGCAAGGTTCCCATTCATTGACTTTTGGTGTAATAATTTTTCTTTATTTTATTTTATTTTTTGATATGTTAATGGTGGAAATGGAGCGTGAGATTTTATGTTAAGGCATTAGCCCACCTATTTTATTTTATTTCACGTGAGAAGTCTCACCCCATTTTTGGATGTATAGAATGCTGATAAAAGCACCCATTTTTATGATGTATAGAGTGCCCAACATGTGGAACGCCATTCTTGACTTTATGTTTACGGCTCCTTACATGTAAATAAAAGGCAACCTTTATTTCAACGAAATGTATACAATAAGACCATTTATCTTTTGTACAAGGTCACAATCATTTCTGTTTCTTAGATTTGAAACCACAAGGCTAAGAATGTTTCATTTATCAAGCTCTAAGTCCAAAAAAAAGTTCTTGAACTTTGTAATGTACTACTAGCTATCTGATTTGACATTTGATGGCTAGGATCAATTGTGACATTCTTGTTCCAAAGTTATAGGGTCTTATAGTATACAATCCCTTATTTCAAAAGGAAAGGGAAAAAAAACACATGCAACAGTTTGCATATTGATAATGTTATCAACTTTCCATTGACTGAAGTCTCATCAACTTTCCATTGACTAAAGTCTCAAAGGCTGTGAACCAGTCGTTACCGGAAAATATGGCCAAAATTCTTAAGATGCACAAAAACAATATTACAGACCTAAACATCAAGAAAGAAAATAGACCATAACATGTCCATCTTATCCCAAATTTTCAGAATCTAAACTAAGAATCCCAACAAGAGAACCAAATCCCTTCCTGCTGCTGTCAGCAAAAAATAGGAAAAGTAAAATTCTTCAACTAGCTCAAACACTTGCTATTTCTCTTTTTTCATAGTAATTTGTTAGGACTCCTTTTTTCATTGAAATTCTCCTAACATTTCACAAGAAAGACAAATTATTTGGCGATCAACAAATTACCTCATTGAAATATTCCGAAGAAACTAAATAACCCCTTGGTTATATTCTAGTTGGATAATTACGATGAGGAGTTGCTTTTGGAGTGGGGCAAGCAAACAAATTGGTAAATTCTCATACATGACCGAACCAATATACATTGTGAGAAGAGCAAGAGCAATCACACGCCTACCAACATGGATTATGACAAAAATAAAAATAAAGCTAAAATCTAAATGAATGAACCATGAAGATTCAGCAGCTTTGGATAGTAGCAGAATGAGAGATTGATGCCTGACAAGAGTCTCTTGAATAGTATTTCCAACAAATGAAGTAGGTTTGCTCCAAAGCTACATGATGCAGAAGTTCAATGCTAGATATTCCAGTGAAGTGATTTTGTTGTACATTATGCCTCCCATAATTGTGAATGTATGAGTTCTCCTTGGTAAAGGAGGGACTGCAAAACTCTAGTGATTGATTTCAATGCATTTGTTGATGATTATAGAAATAGAAATACAAAATTTTTGTCATTACATGCTTTGTAAGCATATAGATAACATGCTAAACTGGTCAATCAATATGAATGTAATAAGAAGGACAAGAGTCCAAAAGTTGGAATATTGCAAGATACAAGAGGCATACAAATATCTAATCAGAAAAACAAAAGAAAAAGAAAAGGAAGCACTCAAACCTGAAGATTAAGATATCGAGTAACTGGAATCTTCTTTGTAAGCAATCTTACATCACCATGCTCGGGTTCATATATAAATTTCCACCTTCTTTCAGGCATTAAAGGCTTCAAAACTAGTTTTGTATGGTACTCGCCGAACTGGAAATTATAGAACTGATAGAGAAAGAATGAGTTCAATGAACAAACGACGTAAAGGGACCATGTCAAAAAATTACCTCAAAATTGAAACCAACACGATAACCTCCAATTAATTTCCTGAACTTCAATAAGAGGTCTGAGGGGACGTAGTTTATGTTGTAAAGATCTTCCCAAGATGCAACTTCTTCATCATAGGAATCTGAAGCCATTGATTCTGGAAGTCTAGAAACTAAAACTCTATCCTGAAAATAGGCTTCGATAAACCCTGCATCTAATAAATCCCCAATAAAAATCCGCAGTCACTCTGTTTTGCCATTAATCTCCATGAGAAAATTAAATGCAGAAATAAGAACATAGTCTCAGAAATAGTCCTTGATTTTCATTATAGAAGTGAAAGCATGAGGTGATGTGCCACTGCTGCATGAAGTAAACACTCGATTACAATAAATAAGAGAGATGAAAATTTTCCTCTAGTTTCACTTATACGATAGTAGTACCAACAAAGCCTAGCCAAAGCAAAAAGCGAGCACCAATAGAGAAGCTGATAGAATGATCCACAGAGCACTTCATAATAATACAGAAACCAATATGAATCACCAATCATGAAATTGGAATTCCCTATCCATTGGTCGATCTAAAAAAGGAAATTTCATGGAATTGGACTTACATCGCCAGAAGAAATAAAAGATATCCGATTCTATAAAATTGGCCAAGAAAGGAATGGCCAAACTAGTTTTGCAAGGGCACAACAAAACCAAATAAAATAAAACCTGAAAACATGCTTGCTCACAACTAGAAAACATGCAGGCTTACAAGCTAGCAAACCACAAAGATTTTATAACAAGGTCACAAATGGAGCATCCATTATCCTTGGCTGCATACAACCTGTTCTGATTTGAGAGGATAAACTGTATGGTTTCATATTTAATGATGAATATGCTGTAGCAACAAGATATGTGATATTAGACAAGTAATTTTTTCAATAAATCATTTGGAAGTCTAAAACAGAAGAAAAGCAGCTAGTCTAGCCATTAAATAACTGCCTCAAGATGCACAATTGATATTTCAGTGTCAGTAGATTGGATGCATTACTTGATATTAACATCAGAAATCACCATTGTCAAACTCTACCATGTGTTATGTCTTTCTATTTAGATGTCTATGCAGCAAGTTAAATTAATTTGTGTTGATTGGCTATCATATACTAATTTATATGATTCTGTAAGCTTCAAAATTCAAATAGGTTGAAAACCAATGCACTAGATGAGTTTATTAAATCTAAAAATCTTAGAATTGTAAACACTTAATATAATTTCAATTTTCCAGACAACCAAATATTTGAACTAAATATTATGTGAATTCAATGCTTGAAGTTTTTTATGAATTTCGAAGTTTTACTTAATACATGCATATCAAAGTAGGCACGTACATATATACATACATACATATACACACATATACTCACATACATGCATGCATACATACATACATACACGCATGCATACGCACATACATACGCCCACACATATACATACGTACATAGCATATAAACATTCATATACTTAATGCGTGCATACCTACCTGCATATCATATCAGGCACGCACATACATACATATGAGCGTGCACGCGTGAAGCTACATACATACATATGCACGCGCACCAACATACATAATACATACACCAACACATACATGAACAGAATTTAAAGATGCATACATGGTAGAAACACACCTTCTGGACAAAGTATACAAAAATTAACCAGAATTAATATCAGATGGACATCATCCATGGCATGGTTCAAACTAGCCCTAGGGTTTTGACCAAAAATTGCATTTGCATAAATATCGACAAGAAACAGCTCAAAGTCCATTGAAACAGTTGAAGAAGAGAATTTCGGATGAGTTTAGGTATACATGGATCAAATTCCAATGAATATCACGCATCGCAAAAGAATAAAATAACACTAAATAAACCTCCACAGTCTCATCAAACACAAAATTGAAAGAATAAAAGATGGAAATTTGAGCTTTTCTAGGGCTGGAATCGTGCATTTGAAATGAAAAGAATGGCGAATACGCACCATTAAATGATAGATTCTGAATCTTTCAGAGTAGTGGCAATGGCGGGCTAGGGCATCACTCGCTTAAAAACGGTGTCATTTTCGCAGGCAAAAGTAGGTGGACCATATACAATGTTCCCCCGTATAAAATGTTCGAGCGTGATCATTCTGTGTAGTTAAAAACTAGGGAAATTTATTTTAATATTTTAAAATAGTGTTGTATATTTGATATTTTACCCTCAAGTCTCATTTTTTAGAACATAAAGTGTATTTTAATTATTTTTTTTATACATTATGTTTAACTCAAGTTTAATAGGTCTATACTTTTTATCATTATAAACTTTTTTTTTAAAAAAATAATATAAAATAGATAGATTTACTAAAACATCTCATATTATTATGGGTAGTTTTGGTAATTTTATTTATTTAATTTTTTCATACTTTTATAATTATATGATAGTGAGAAGTATTCAAATTGTTACAAATGAGACAAATTTGTAAACACTTAATAATAAACCGTCTTGATAATATGAACCAAGATGTGCGATTTTTAGATGTAAATCCATTTTTACTTGTCTCGATATTATGAACCAAGATGGGCGATTTTTAGAGTGTAAATCCATTTTTACTTAAAATCCATGTGTTGAGATCAATATGATCAGTTTGAGAGTTTATCTATTCGACCTTTACTAACCTTTCTTACAAGTTGTTGAAGTGCGGCTCTATTTTTCCTTAAAGCATAGACCTTATATAAACTCTCTTCATGGTTAAATGCAATATGATTTAGTACCCTCTTGTACACACCTATCTCTTTGTAAAAGGGGATTGTGTATGAGACGATTTACTTTTCATAAGTCTGATTCTAAGGCGGACATGTTAGTCCAAGTCTATATGTCTTTCTTCTCTATGAGCAAACTGGTAGAGGAGGTCATAATTATTTATAACTATTGGATGTGAAATCTAATGATTGAAGTGTGTCATAATTAGTGTTTATAAAACCGGGCGATCTAACCGCCCAGTTGGATGGTTTTGATGATCAATCGGTATTTAAAAAAATTCAAAAATAAAAAATATAAATTCTTAAAAATAAAAATTTAATTTATAATACAATTTTTTAAATATTTTTTATATTATGATAAAGATTAAAAATTGTTTTGGTCATTAATACTCACTTTTATATTTTCTCATTTTTTTTCAAAAAATTTTAAAAATACTCCTAGGCACAAATAGATTCTTTAAAATCCATTTTTTTCATTAATTTTCAACTTCATTTAAACATGTTTTGTTAAAAAAAAATTGTAATTTTTTTTTTATTTTTTTCAATACTTTTTTGACCACCCGGGACTTGCCCGATTAGAGCGGTTGAATCAGTTGATTTACCGATTAGGTCGTGTCTGGTTAACCGTTCCGGTTTGATTTTGCAAACATTGGTCACAACATTTAGAAAATTTTATTTTGGACATTGTACCAATCAATGACATATCCTCAACGGCCCAATCTCACAAACAGTCAATAATGATTATTTCCTCCTTGATAAAAAAATGAATAGTCTCATTGTATACATTTCCTTGGGAAAATAAAAAATCACATAAATAATAGTTGCAATGCGCCTACCTTTTATTTTTTATATTTGGGATGGTGTCTCAAGGCTGGATGAACCACTTGTCTTGGAAAAGTTCATACAAGGTGTCTACATAAGGTATCTATTAATATAAAGTATCTACCTTATAACATTCAAATAAGGTGCACCTCATAAACCCATAAGAAGTTTGTTCTCATGCTAGAAGGGTTGGGAATACAATCCCATGAGGAAAGGATACCAATGAAATTGTATTAAATGGGCAGTTTGAGAAAGTAGAAGAGGGTGACTTGTTGATCAAGTCATCATCTTACACAAATAGGATCTCACGTATGGTTTTGATATAAAAAGATATTCCTCTTATCTCTTTCTTAAAATGGAGATATTGATGGACCTCTTTTTTCGGAGGTTATGGATACACTTCTAAACGTTGTAGTTATCCCTTAGCCCATATATAAAAAGGAATATGAGAGAGGCTAATATTGGTCTTGGTTGTTTTGACCAAAGCTATCTTTCTTAGGCTATTTTGGGCTTGCATCTATCTTTCTTGGGCTATTTTGGGCTTGCATCTCTCTTGGTCATATTTTGAGCGGATTTTTATAGTGGGTCATTCTTTGAGCAGACTCTTTTTGGGGTATCAAAGATATATAAAGCCTTCTTTTGTAGAAAAGAAGAAAGAAACAGATCATTTTTTGGGCAAACTCTTATTAGTGTATCAGAGATACATGAAGCCTTCTTTTGCATAAAAGAAGAAGGAAACAGTCCATTCTTTGGGCGGACTCTTCTTGCTGTATCAAAGATATAGGAGGCTTTTTTTTGCAAAAAAAAAAAAAGAAGCCTTCTTTTGCATAAAAGAAGAAAAAGAAATAAAGTTATCGTTCTCTTACAGAAAAGAAGAAGACAAACTATTCTTGGTATATCAAAGATACATGAAGCCTTCTTTTGTAGAAAAGAAGAGAGAGATAAAATTATCGTTCACTTAAAGAGAAGAAGAGAGAGTCTTATCCTTCTACGAAGAGATAAGAACAAGAGAGAGTTATCTTTCTTCTTAGAGAGAAGAAGAGGATGAAAGAGAATCAGTGATCCTCTTGTTGAGTCTTTTTTTTTGTTGTGAAAGAAAAGAGAGAGAAGAGAACAAAAATGAGAGAAAGAAAGAACATTTTCTTTTAGAGAGAGAAAGCATCGGGAAAAGAAAAAAAAATCTCTATGATCAGATAAGGAAATCCTAGAAAGAAGTCTCTAGATGAATCGGCGATCCCAAGAAATGTTGTTTCTTGAAAGACTATTATAACTTGTAAGTTTAATAGTGGATTCATTTCTTTCTCCCGTGGACGTAGCCTAAAAAGATGGACGACGTAAATCCGTTGCCAATAAGATTTATTTGTTTATTTACTTTATTGTATGTTTCTCCACTCATAGATAAATACATGGGTTTTGGCATGTTTGTGCTTCTCATATTTCTTGGTTTCCGCTGCGCACATCGGCATTCATGCGAGATGACTCTGAGTGGGTAGCCCAAGAAGCGGTATCATAGTGTGTTTTCCCTCACTGCTTAGTCCTCCCTATCACCGTTTTACGGTATAACGAACCTAGTAGTCGTAGGACGAGTTAGTAAGAACACAAATCCCTCGGGCGGCAATAATGATCGAATGGCTCAACGATCGGACGAGAGTTCACGATCAGGAGGCAATTCATGATCGGGCAGGAGTTCACAATCGGGGGGGGGGGGGCAGTTCACGATCGGTGTGCAGTTGACGATCAGGCAGCAGTTCACGATCGGTGCGCAGTTCATGATTGGTGGGCAATTAACCGAAACGATCAGACGATTGCTAACCACAACGCACGGGGGATAAACAGTGTGTGTACATAGATGGATTTTAGTATCGCGAGCAGAATGACATCGCTCAATGGGAATAACTGGATCATCTGGAAGCTAAAAATAGAAGATCTACTATACTGTCGAGACTTATACACACCCGTTGAAGGGGTAGAATACAAACTCGAAAGTATGACAAACAATGAGTGGAAGAGATTGAATCGAAAGGCTCTCGAAACTATCTGACCATGGTTGGAAGAAAATGTGTTCCACCATATGTCGATGGAGACATCCTCGAAATCATTGTGGTTAAGCTACATGACTTGTACAAAAAGAAGACCGTCGGAAATAAGGTGTTCTTGATCTGAAAATTAGTGAACATAAAGTTCAGGGACGGGGAATCTGTTGCGAAGCACCTGAATGACGTGCAAAGTATTGTTAACCAGCTCGCAACGATGAAGTTGTTCTTGGAAGATAAGTTACATGCTCTATTTTTGCTCGGTTCACTGCTAGACAATTGGGAGACACTAGTAGTCTCTGTGAGTAACTCAACACTAGCTGGGATAGTGACCATGAATCAAGTCACTAGTAGCCTGCTGAATGAAGAGGTGAGAAGAAAAGCCTCCGACACATCGGAATCGCAAGCTCTTGTCACTAATCGAAGAAGGTCCAAAAATAGGGACCAAAACCGATCGAAGACAAAAAGAAAGATCAAATGTTTTCATTGTGGCAAGGAATGACACGTCAAGAAAGATTGCCATAAGCTCAAAAATGAGTGGTATGAGGACAGTGTCATGGGTGATGGCAGGCAAACCACTACAGTGACTATAGATATTGCTATGGTTGGAAACTGTAGTGAAGGGTGCATTAAAATTACACCATGCAACTCAGATTGAATTGTGGATATCGAAGCATCACAATCGTTTGGTGGCGCATCATACCTCGTCACCTTCATCGATGATGCTTCATGAATGGTATGGGTGAAACCAAAAGATCAGGTGTTTGAGAGCTTTCAAGATTTCCAAGCAAGGTGGAAAGGGAGACGCGAGCTGTTAAAGTGTCTCAGTGTTAGGAGCATGTTATCCACCACCAAGGTGTATTAAGGCGAAGCAGTCCTCATAGAATGCTACCTAAATCAATCTCAGTTGTTTTCTTTGGATGGTCAGATCCAATAAACAAGTTGGACGGGAAATGATATGTCTTATTCACACTTGATGGTGTTCGAGGCATTGGTGCACATGCCAAGGAACAAAGATCCCAGTTGAATGAGAAATGACTCCTATGCATCTTCTAAAAGTACTCAGATGAAAAGTTCAACTTAGGTTGTGGGATTCTGAGTATAGGAAGGTGAACAGGGGTATGGGTGGTCTTTCAAGAATACCTTACTATTAAAGATGTGAAGAATGCAGCATATCCATGGATCTTCAATGGTTCAGAACCAGTCATCGTTCTTCCACCATGATAAATGAAGACGGGGGAGATGTAAAACAAAAAGATGGATCCAAAGAGTTGATATGTTAGTTCAGGGTGATATGAAACAGGGGAAGCAGCTTGTTCAAAAAACTCCACCTACAGTTGAGCTAAGGAGGTCCTCTAGGGGACATAAACCCTCTACTAGTTACCTCGCAAGAGGTGGAAATCTACCAGAAAGTCAGGCCGACAAATACAAAGGGGTGTGGGTTAAAACTATGTAAGATGAGATATATCCTCACATAAGAATCACACATATGACCTCTTAAAGTTACTAAAAGCCAAGAAGGCACAAGTTAAGTGTCAGAAGAGCCCTTCAATCAAGAGGAAAAAGGAAGAAATACAGACAGTTCCCTATGGGTCAGCCGTAGGAAACACACGCAGCAGATGCGTGGTGAGCTCAGTATAGATTGTCAATGAGTGCTCATTGTGCAAAGAAAGTATTGATCGACATACCATTAGTCATTACTTAACCATCAATGAATTGCCACTTTGCAAATAAGGTATTGACTAATGGACCATTAATCATCACTTTGACCAACAATGAATCACCACTATGCAAAAAAAGTATTGATTAATGGATCGTTAGTCACCACTTTGACCAACAGTGAATCACTTTAACCATCCGTGACTCTATGGACTGACAGTAACACAGGGAGCAGATTCATTTATCATTAATCTTGGCAAGGAACACTAGATAACAGTCAATTTGATGTTCAAGTATCTTAGAGGATAATCCAAAATGTGTTTGTGCTTTGAGGGAGGAAACCTATATTACATGGGTACACAGATGAAGACATTGCTGGATGACTAAACTCCAGGAAGTTAATATCATGATACTCGATTACTTTTGTAGAAGGAATTGTTGTATGGCAGTTCAAGCTGCAGAAGACCTTGGCCGAAGATAAGCAAGAGTCCTAGAGAAGCATGGCTGGCACAAATGTCATTTGTAGACCTAATTGATTTGCAAAAAGAGACATCCCTCTTGGGATGTGAGGGGGGAGATTGTTGAGAATCTCATCCCATGAGGGAAGGACACAAATAGAATTGTCTTATTGTTAAAGGGGCAATTTGGGAAAGTGGAAGAGGGTGATAAATCTCTAGATGAAATCAATGATCCCAATAAAGATTGTTTCTTTGAAGACTATTGTAATGTGTAAGTTTAATAATGAATTGGTTTCTTTCTCCTGTACATGTAGCCTGAAAAGTGAACCACATAAATCCGGTATCCGTAAGATTTATTTCTTTGTTTTCCCTATTGCATGTTTTCTCACTCATACACACACATGCGCTTTGACATATTTGTGTTTATCATATTTCCTTATTCCGCAACACACATCCGCATTCATGCAAGAAAGCTCTAAATGGGTGAACCCAACAAGAAGACAGTCAAATTGATCGTCTCAACATCAAAATGTACATATATAAAAACATATAAATAAATAAAAATTTCAAGTCGCGTAAAAAGTGCTTATTATAACACATTAAGTAGGCTGTTAATTTTCAAAATTTCAAAGTGTTACAGATTTACTTGATCTGCAACATTTTTTATATTTAAAATTCATTATTAAGGCCTTTGTGCAATTGCAAAGCCTTCATCTCTCTACATATTTTTGAAGTGCATCTTCCTTATACAAACTTCACCATGGAGAACTAGGATGAAATAGTAAAAAAATCAGCCTCCTATGACATGCCTCAAATAAACTGGGGCAAAGAAACGTGCTTAATCACGAGTAAGGTAGAGGACGCCATTGTGCAAGAATAATGTTTTTTACTGGCAATTGGTGGTCCGCCAAAAATGCTTTTCAATCGTCATCGGTGGTCCGCCACCGGGCCTGAGAGACAGGTGCTGTGGCCATTGCGCTCTTGAGGCCAAGCTCAAGAAGGTCTACCACATCCGTATGAATGGATCAAGTGCGGACGCTTCCGGCAATTCATTTCGGATTGGCAAATCAAACTAACTTTCCGGTGTGAGAATTATTCTAAAAAAATTAAATAATAATTTTAATTTTGAAAACAGAAACTAAAAGAATAATAAAAAATAAAATGGGTCGGAACCGGAAGATTTAAGCAATTCAAATAAGCTCTTTGACAAAGATGGTAAGTTATCAGACCATTAGAATCCAACTGATTCCCTGTTCCCACTAGAAATAGCTCCCATACACACCGATTCCCAATGTTGAAACATTGTTCAAAAATACAAGCAAAATGGTTAAAACGACTGTTCCGACCAGAAATTTGGCCTGTACCCACTGATTCCCAATGCTGAAACACTGCTCAAAAATACAAGCAAAAGGGTTAAAACAATAGATTTGGAGATTTTCATATTGTATTGCAAATTACCAGGGGAACAAAGCATGACTTGCTAGGGCAGCACAAATGTTGAAAACCTTATATGCCAGTGTTTTAAAAATCATTGATCATGGATACAGACGGTGGGCGGGGATCTGCTTCTTTGGAACCCCATGTCATTTGATTTCATAACCGCAAATCACCTACATCTTTTATCATTTTTATTTGGAATTTCTTTGCCGTTTACGTTACAAAACAAGACAATTCAGACTAACCCCAACATATCCGGATCATATGTGGAAACAAGCTTGACCCATACATGTGTCGGTAAAAATCTTGGACTTTGACCCAACATGCCAAGTCAAAAGACCCGACCCAATATTTATATTTAAGATATGTGTATATATGCAACACTATTTATATAAATTTTTATATTTGCCTAGACCCATAACTGACTCGGCAAGTTGGGTCTAAACCCAATGACCCAAACCCAAGGTCCAAGATCAACCCAAACCAAACCCAGGTCCGGTCCAAGATAATTGTACCCAGACCCAACCCAACCCAACGGGTCCAATATTTAGGTCTAGATACAAACCCTTGTTGGGGAAACCCGTGGCCACCCCTAGTCAAAGAGGTCCAACAAGGGTCCTTTGGGCAGGGCACATATAACAAACATCCCCTTCAACGTTTCGAGCAGTGTTTTGAAACCCGAATTCGGTGGCCAGGTAGGTCATTGACAAGACGAATTTGGATCACCGATCTCATATCCAACCAATTTTCCTGTTTGTAAGTCCAAAAATTAATATTTATAATTTAAGAAATATATAATAAAAATTATAAAAAGGTGGGAACCAAGTGATTCAGTCTGACAGAATGACAACCAACAAACAATTAACCATATATTATTGATGTCAAGGGTTCAGGATTCACTAAAGGAATGTAGCAAACCAAATTGTCATCATTGTTTATTAACACCATGTTTTGAGTATGGATTAACTACTATCCTATCTCTGTTAGAACAACCAAAATTCCTCAATTTCTAGTAAACCTTGGAGTTTTATGGAATAAAACTGCATCTGAAAATATTATAGCTTCAAATCTACAATGAATTAATCAGTAAAAATTAACACCTCTATATATTCAAACATACGAATGAGACCTCTGACAATATAAATCTTTCAATTTATGCAGCTGAAAATATTATAGAAATAATCAGCAAAATTTAGGACCCCCAACACATTCAAACATATGACTCGAAATTTGGTTAAGGATAGATTCACAAGGTTAAGCGACGAGCAACTTCTAGAGTTTTGAGTTTGAATCCAGAAGCTCCTAATAGGTGTAAGATTCACAAAACAGCCGAAAAATTCCACCGCAAAAGGGTCAAGGCATAAAAATGGCAATGAACAGTTATCATTTAGTAAATTATATCAATGAATGGGTATTTTAGCCATTTATAGAATAGACATTATATGCTATAAGACCATTTACCTTTTTCTAGAAAAAGTTACAATCACCTCTAGCCGTCCGAAATAAAATTGGGCAGCTATGGGTGTGTCATTTTTCTGCACAATTTCACATCTGGAAGCTAGGGCTGATGATAACCTTCTTGTTCCAAAGGTCGATGGTCGTATTATTATTCTTGGGTGTGAAAGCAAGAGAGAGAGAGAGAGAGAGAGAGAGAGAGAGAGAGAGAGAGAGAGTAAT